TGTTTTTTTTTTTTTTTCTTTCAAACTTACTTTTCTTTCTCTGTTAACAGGGGAAGATTTTCACTGACCAACCCATAACTGAGCAATAGTATGGATTCTGCCGTCATTTCTTGATTTACAATTAACCCTGCTATGATTCGGCGCAAGGTTTCATGAACTTTCCGGGCCAGTTTTAAACTCGTGGTATTTTGTAAGATCTAAAGGCAAACATAAATGTCATGTTGAGATAACACAGAACTGCCTTTTTGTTTGTTGTGATTAAAAAATACATTTCCTTTTTAATATAGGTTTTTTTTTCTAATTAAAAAGAAACATCCTTAATAAAATTTCAAACAGAGCATACAAAGTAACATTTACACATACTGTCAATCCCAGAGACAACCACTATCAGCATCATGTATGTCTCTGGATTTCTCTGTGCTCTCTGTTGGTGAGACCTCAGGGCACAGGACTGGAGACATGATGTGATACATGGAAGACATCAACCCTGTAAGTGCATCATAGGCAAGCACATGCACATATACAACATTACCAAAATGCAGTCAGTACTCATCTGAAACCATGCTAACAGTGCTGTGATGGCCAAGCCTCAGGGTTTGATATTAGTCATTAGGCCGAATCATAGGAACTTAATGGGAATCTAGGACCATCAACATCAACAAAACCCTCAGCACTTTATAAATATTCCTTTGCACAGGACACGGTAATAATAACTTTAACTATCTTGGAGGGACTTAATAATATACATGGAAAATACATGTGCTGTGTTAATTCTTTTTCATCCTCAAAACATACCTAACATTCTCAGGTTTAGATAAGATTAATGCATTGTAGAAAAAATTATGGAGTTATTCTGACACCAAAACATTTGGAATTAAGGTTAATTCATGTCATTAAATAGTGTTTTGCTCTAGTTTTTGTGCATAAAATAAAATGAGTTAATAACATTTGTTGAGTGTTCACCCCTACATTAGGCACAGAGAACATTATGAAGGTAAGTAAACTATAGTCCCTGCCCGACAGGAGCAGAATGAAAACAGTGCAAAGAATGTAAGCTTTGGATCAGAAAAATCTACAAGTAATGTTTTACTTTCCTCCTTAATCATGACCCTTCTACCTTTTGTTGAGCCTACATTTTCTTATCTGTAAGATGAAAGTACCATTGATCTCAGAGTGGTTGTGCAGATTAGAAGAGATCATGAAACACGATGCTGAGAACATAATATATGTTCAACAGATGTCACTTTTCTCCCTCTTGGCAATCTGGGAGCAGCAATCTGTCTTCAAAAGCTATGTTCTTAGCTGCTGACTTGAGCCAACTATAAAACTCACTTGAATTTCAATTTTTTGTTTCTGCATCACATGGTTTACATCCAGGAATCTGGTTCTTAGTTTAGAATGCCACCTAGGGCTGCCAGCTAGTGGCCATGTGGTATCCATGCCCTTCATACCAAATGAAACCCTGGTGGTCAAGTGCAGCATTACTGCATGGGTCGTTTTAAGAACTCATGATGCTGTAATGTGGGGATCTCCTGTACTGCATTCAAGTCCTTACCTCTTTTAATGGAAGGATAAGTTTTGTAACCTGATCTTTCCCTACAAACTTGCCCAGGATTTCATAAGAATCATAACTCTTGCTTCTTCGTGCCTCCATGACTTTGGAGAGGATCTGCTTCACTTCCTTCTCTTCAGCAATGGCACCAAACAACTCATGGTTAAAAATCTTTGAAAGAAAAAAGCCAAATGGCAATTATGTGTAATCAGCAAGATATGTCAACATAAGCAGTCTCTGATACATCCAGATCGGAGGAAAACAAGTTGGACAGGACTGAAATTAGATGGCAGGAATTTCTATTAGATTTCACTTTTTCAAGGCAGTTCAGGGACCAATTACTGAAAGACAAGCAAATACCGCAACACCTGAAGGTTTTTACTAAGGGGAAATAAAAGAGGGCTATGTAGATTTACATATATGATTGTATAATATAAGAGACAGGTACTTCCTCTTGGATATTACCGAAGAGTAGCCTCATTTCCCTTTAAAAAACTGATGATATTTGTAACTTATCAAAACTGATGTGTTTAATTCAAAATGTTTCAATACGTACATTTTTTAACGAATGAACAAAGGCAGTATGGCAAATTTAGTCTCTTCCTAATCTCACCCCCCAAATTATCACATGATCAATTTTAAAAGTTGATGGTTATTAAATTTTTCACTACTGTACGTAAAGCTCTGGTGCACATATTTTTATATAAACCCCAGACTAAATACATCTCAGATTCTTAAAAGTGGTCGATATTTTTGCTTATTTTAAAGCTCCTGATACACAACATCAACTTTCTTCCCAGAAAGGTTATACCAAAACTCATGACCTACTAGCAATGGTAGAGAGTCCACCTCACTTCACCTGAGTCAGCTTTTTAAACTTCTGCTAATCTAAGAGATGAGATAGTACATCATTTTCATTTTTACAGGTTATAAATATTTCGTATTTTGTGAGCCGATTTTCTGTGTCCAATGCCCAGTTAAGAAAATGACACTCCTTTTTTCTAAATCTTACCTCAATCATTATATCTAAACAGGAGTCCAAATCCCCAACTTGTAGCTTGTTGGTGAGGCCTTGCAGCAACATATAAACAGTGTAAGTCAGCACATGGACCTAAAATGAAATGCTCAGTAAGAATACGAATGCTTAAGAATACCATAGTAGAAAAAAAATAAGATCTAAGAAGTACTGCATAGAGCGCTCAGAGTTTCCATAATTACTGTAGGGAGAAGTTTTGACAAATGACACACACTTCTATCACCATCTAAAAGAGTTTAACCTGGCACAAAAACAGACACATAGACCAATGGAATAGAATAGAAACCCCAGAACTAGACCCACAAACGTATGGCCAACTAATCTTTGACAAAGCAGGAAAGAACATCTACTGGAAAAAAGAGTCTCTTTAACAAATGGTGCTAGGAGAACTGGACAGCAACATGCAGAAGATTGAAACTAGACCACTTTCTCACACCATTCACAAAAATAAACTCAAAATGGATAAAGGACCTGAATGTGAGACAGGAAACCATCAAAACCCTAGAGGGGAAAGCAGGAAAAGACCTCTCTGACCTCAGCCGTAGCAATTTCTTACTTGACACATCCCCAAAGGCAAGGGA